CTATCCAAATTAGAGATCTGTACTCAATAATAAGTGTACGATTTGACCAGTTGGACGATTAAACTTTCATAAAAGAAATTAAGCCTTACTGTTTCTACCGACGCTTGTCGCGTGCGGCTCCGCCAAATGCTCCTTATACCACAGAGAATAGGGTAATATATTTCTTTGATGAAGGCTTCTGCGGGGCACATCATTCTAGTCGAGTCCTTACGACCCCCACCCCCCCCCCTTTCTTTCGAGGGTTGGTACGACCTCCCCCTCTAGCACTCTGTCTCCCCTCATCGAGCTGCCGAGCGGGGAGGGGGTAAATAGCATAGCATACGTGAAACGGGAAAAGCCGCGAGGGAAATACGATTCCCTTCTACCAATTCTCAGATTTTCCCCAACTTCCTGCCTTTTTTCCAAAATTTCCCGAAAAGTTCCCTACTTTTCCCAAAAATTTTGCTGTCGAGCGGGGGGGGGTGGGGGAGGGGGTATGTACCACACATGAAACAAGAAAATCACGAAAAGTCAACCACCTCTCCCACAAGACCGAAAGTGAATACGACCCTTCTTCCTGCAATGAGCAAGTACGACCCCTTTACAACGTCCGTGAAGCGAGAAAAATCAACTATCAAAATAAATTTTTCCCAGCCCAAATACGACCCCCCTCTCCTGGCGACCTTCCCCCCTGTTGGGATTCCCCAAAAACGATCTGCCCTAGGCTTCTGTTTTGCCTGATCATTGCTGTACTTGTGAATACGTCTATAATCAGCATTCTTTAATCAGGAATTTTATCTTTTCCAGCTGGGTCGAGTGTCACATCATCCCGAACAATGTTAAAAACAAACGCCTTAGTACCTGTTTTGATATTGTGGAGCACGTTTTTAAGTGAGTTCTTATCTGTGGACAGTTTTGACCACTTGAACGACATCCGCATCCACATAAGAAAAACAGGCATCACACGGTTGGCAGGGGTCATGGTTTTTTCGTTACGCCCCGGCATCGACGCCTTGCCAGTGTTGGATAATTATTCTCCCAGGAAATCAAAAATTTTGTTCCTACTTCCACAGTACGGTTTCTAGGCGATATGGATGTAGCTCCGAGGCAAAATAGAGTGTTCTGAACTTTCGCCTTCTCTCCTAGGCATTAATCAGACCACCAGTGTGAACATCACTGTAAATCACAGCGACTACCACATCCACGTCTCACTGGTACTCGAAGTTTTTCACGAACAAGTGCCATGGGTGGTTTGGTTGATCATTTGGTCATGTCCTTTCTCGAGGGCATTCTAGAATTCTCCTCGAGAGGGGATACAGTACATCTGAGGTGCTCAGGTAAGTCATGGATCAGGTGTATTGTTTAGGAGAGCATGAAAGAGCTCACATGAGCTAAGCTGCGCCCCCCAGGAAGGTTGGGGCTTCCACGGCGCAAAAGGCAAGAACTGATAGTTTGGCTGTAGAACAGCTCAGAGATGGTTACAACATGGGCAATGGTCAGCAGCGGAATAGGACGGATGAAGTGAGGGAGATACACAGTGGGTGAGACGTATTACCGATGGGCGGTGCTTGCTACAAAAATCAATTGGGCCTCACTATACAGAGCTTACAATCAATATCACGTATCAATCACTTGGCTAATTGACATTTGTTCTAGCAATCGTCAACAGTAACGAGCTTTCGCGTTGCTGTTCAGGTGGAGCGCGACATTACCAACAGACACATACCTGCTCGAATTTAAAATCCGTAGGATCCAAGGCAAGCTGTCTAAGGTAAGACGTTTCTTATTGACAGCCAATAATACCACAAACTTTTATCAGTTCTACAATTCCTAACAGGAAGGGTACGATGGATCTAAGACTGTTCCATCAAAAACAAAAACATTCTGGCTGTTTCCCTTCCATAGAACGTTTCATAGTTTCGGCGCCGCTGGGCTTGGTGGGGGCACCAATGGTATTCAGCGGAGCCAGTATAGGTCACCTTGTGAAGACATGTAGATTACTGTAATTAAAGGGACTTACTTGTACCAGTTTGCAGCTTCACACGAGACTACAAAATTCACCCAAGGTGAAATTTGTTAGTTAACATGAACTAGCTACAGAACTAGCATGAAAAGTACATGAAAAAGAACATACGCCCACCCCAAGTCGCGGCAAGTCACTAAAAAGTCCTCGATCAGGGGAGTAATTTGCCCTCTAAAGGCACCCTTTCGCGATTGTAGGTCATGGGTAACTTGCTTGATCCGAAAGTGCATGTAAATTTTGTAGGATTTTGCTGAGGAATGGCTAGAGTAGCGGGGAGCCTGTCAAACGTGGGACACACCTGCATGGTGGACGTCACTTGCCGCTTGGGTAAGAGCCACTTCGAGCGACTTCACGCTCTAAGTACCCACATACTCATGGGGCGATGGCTGCTATTCAATGGGTAGGAATGGGTGTCTCTCATGGCGCGTATCTGCCTGTGAAAAGGACCCCTCATTGTACAGTGCTGGACATGATTACATTCGCAGCAGAACGAAATTCACAGAACAGAAAGCACGACGACGCCATGTTGAAATGGAACACACAACCACGCCTACCCCATCCTCGAGATATGAAGTATGTCTTTACAGGCAAAACTTGTACAGCATTGTCCCCAAGTAGCATTACTACTTTACGTCCGAAGGGCTTTCATTTTATGAGGTAATTCGCAACAATGGTCTGTGAAAGTCAGGTATATAAATCACTCTAGTATTACTTCACAGTAAACCGTTGAATATGTCCTGAAATGGATTGATAATTGAAAAATAAAAACGAAAATGAAAATGATAATTGAAATCGATCAACTTTAGAAACAGCAATCAATCTGCTGCTTACGTGCGTTGTTGGATTCCTCATGTGGAGAGGGGACGGATATCGCTAGACAAGATGAAACATGCCCGTCCAGTATAAACAGTTTAGGCGGAGGACTGAAAGGTTGAGTTTACCTCATTACAGTGGTAGTGTTGCTGTATTTTTTCGCTTTAATTATTTTAAAATTTTTTCCTCTCATTCTGACAGTGAAAGATGTTGTCCAGAATAATCTGCCAGTGCTTGTGTGAAAGAATTTGTTAAGGGTATAGTGGAGAGGAAGGCGGAGGTAGTGTAGAGGCAAAAGGCTCGCTTATCGTCCATGAGGTCAGGAGCTCGAATCCAACAGTCAAGCGCTTCTTACCCTCCGGGGACGAAAGTTGCACCATGTTTTGTCTGGTGAGAATACGTAATGAGCTTTGTACACATGGATCGGCTGCATTTTTGAGGATCGCTGAAATAATTATCAAAAGAATACTGAGTAATGGGTAAAAGTTAGTCGCCAGAGGGAACTCGAACCATAAATTCTTCTTGCCGGGCGAGTACGTCTTCTGTTAGCATTTTCGGAAAAAGTAAGGAGCAATGAGCCTGCCTCTTGATCTATTCGAGGTTCTAACTTGTCGGCGGGATAGTGTCATTTAGAAGTTCCTTTTCGGCCGGAACATGCGAAAATTTTTCATTGCAGGAATGCTGCGAATGCTGTCTACTTAGCTAACGAATTGATAGCAAAGAACCAGCCCTGCACACCACCGACAGGATTCTCGGCCGCCCCCCCCCCCCCCACTTGTCTGAGGTCCTTCTCACGTTGCTGTCAGGCCCACCTTTTCGATTCACTCAACAATCCCGATATCAACTGGTTTGACTGGCTAATTTTTTGTGTGGGGTTCACAGTGATCTACACCGGTCACTCGGTGCTTTTATTCGTTAGGTCGTCCAGTCTTTCCAGTCTCTGAGAACAATGCTGTCTACTTGGGTGATCGATGTGCACATTCAAAATGCGAACATTTTTGCAATGATCGGTAAGCTTATTTAATTTTGTATGAGAGTGTCGGGTATTTAAAAATACAGTGGTGTCGCTTTTGGCTCCGCCCCAGACTGCACGCTCTTTTACCGCGATAAATAATTAGTGCACATATTCACTCGTAATTACAGCTTGCACTAAGATTCTTTCATTAGTTGTCCGCATCAACCTATGCAATGCTGATTAGACTTTGATATAATGAGCATCATGCAGCTGACTCCTCCCCAAACGACTCCTCCCACTTATTAGAGGAATTAGTGACTTTGCATCTCAATAACTTTATTGACCGACATTATTTTTAGGATTACATTTTCCCATAAATTCGAACGTACACGGAGTGTAACTTACAGACTACCCGAACTAAGCTCACCTCTTGGCCGCGCCTCTTTTTCAGCAGACTAAGTTCTTGACAGATGTGCCACAGCCACAACATAGAAGCTCGCTGCGGCGTTTGCAAAAAAAAGCACAAAGCAGTTAGCTTATAGCTACAGATTATGCCGTTGTATTCCCTAATGTATTTAATGTTTTCTGATCCATTGAGCTCTATTGGTCGTTTCGCATGGCCAGACGATAGGGGTGTCAGAGGGCCAAATTCTGGCCTCCAAATTTTCACCAGTCGCATTAGTGAGCACAGGCACACCCCATCCCATCTCCGGATCATGGAGTGCGCACATATGCGGGCTCTACGAAAGAATACCGAACTTTATGCTACTGCAAAATGCACCTTTTTGAAATAAACGTCATAGCTCGGAGATGCGGAGGGCGTGTCTGGGTGCTTTGCTTGAGCGTACACTTCTAGAGGAATATTTCCATACTGGGACCATTGCAACTGTGTTTCATCAGGAACAACTGCCATCCCTGTGTGTGTCTTGTTAGACACACGACAGGATGGCAGTTGTTCTGAATAAACACAACTCTGAACCGACAGAACGGTGGTCGCCATCTTCAATTGATGATAAGCGGCACGCCTTCCCCATCTCCAGGATATATATACACTGCAAATAGTAATGATTCATTGTGAAAATGTTCTATTTTACAGAGGTGGAGAAAGCGTTGAGTGCACCTGCAGACCAGGGTACGATCTAGGTCCCGATGGGCAGAGCTGTGTTGGTGAGTCTAATCAACATTCGCTCCTAAATAAGACTTTTTGGCCTTTATACGACCTAAGACTCGTTCATTGTTGCGCTTTCAAAGCACATTTTACGAAAGGGTGGTCTTGGAGTAATTGGTGTTCAGAGTAGGGGAGAATTTTGCGAAATGCGTTCCCCCCTCCTCAAGTCCTGCCGACTCCTAAATTCTCCCAACTTCCCACCACTTTTCCCCACTTTTAATCGAATTTTTCACCAAGGATTGTTGTCGAGCGGGGGCGACATAGCAGATGTGAAACAGGAATAGCCGAACAAGGTGGCGGAAGCCCTCCTTAGCAGTTCCTTCTCCAAATGGATATTTCGATGTGACAAGTGACTACACATGGAAACAGCTGGGTAGTAGGATGAGAAACTACCGAAATGAATGGCAATATCAACGGGATGAAGAGCTGGGAGCTTATAGCGTAAGGCGTGAAGTTCACATGCAGTCGTCATCCGGGCACTTGATTAGGCGGCCAAAGGGTCGCGACGCGGCTGCGTCACGACCGCGGCGATCAGCTGTTTCCAGCCTGGTTTAGCCATTTTCTCCCTAATTTTCACTGTATTTTCTATTTTTTTTCAAGGTAAGTTGTGTTATTGCCTTTATGAAGTGTATTAGGACGTGGATTCTTTTTTGTTTTTGTAATGAGTTTTTGCTATCCTTAAGATACATATTTGTTTAATTGTTTTTTTTAATTGTTCAATTGTTCGCAAAAATTAGAGAAATCTCAATCATAATTTACCTTGTGAAGACAAGGAACAACTAACCTCAAGAAAAGCAGCCAAAAACAGTGAAAATTAGGGAGAAAATGGCTAAACCAGGCTGGAAACAGCTGATCGCCGCGTCGCGACCCTTTGGCCGCCTAATCAAGTGCCCGGATACGACTGTAGTTCCACACTTTATTCTCGTTTATCCCTTGACACGAACTACGGAAATAGGAGTCTCATTTCGAGCATGAGCCCGGTTTTTTGCTACTGACGAACCATGGTCCCCATTGTTTATTACCCTAAAATCCCATAGATAAGAGCGGTCCATAGATAAGAGCGGTTTGTGCTAGAAAATGAAAATTGACGTTTGTATACGTTTTTTTGGCGTTGTGTGCTCATGATTATCGCAATAATAGCCTACAACAGAAATTAAGAAATAGAAAGAAAAAGAAGAAGAAGAAAAAGAAATACAGAAATTCCGTTAAAATCGCTATTTTTCTATATGAATTGTTTATTAAGTGGGCGGGGTTTAGAGTTGAGGGGCGGAGCTTCTTCTAAACTTCTTCTCCGATTTTTATTTATCCATCCATCAAGTTAGAGGGGTGACTGCATTCAATTTCAATTTCATTCCAATTCATTTTTCACCGGTAAATTAAACCGCTCTTATCTATGGGATTTTAGGGTAATACTTGGACCCCTCGAATACTTATTCCGCTACAGCCGGCAATGAAATAGGCGGGCTGACGGATAGTGTGCGTTCATCATTTGCTCATCACTTTTGAGCGCTGTTCAACCGGGAGGGGAGGGAGTCGTAGGCACCGTTCAGACTTCGCGACGGCAGCGCCTCGGTCGCGCGTTCGACGCGATCGATGCGCATGCTTTCGACTGCATCGATCGCGTCGAACGCGCGACCGAAGCGCTGCCGTCGCGAAGTCTGAACGCTGCCTAAGCGGACATTGGCTTGCCATCCTTTTACCTCCCATTGCCTTTCGAGCCATCAAGTAAAGATGTGAGATCTTTTGAAGCCATGATGTAATACCAGTCAAAGTTTGTAGAGTCATCTGTCCAGTCATGTGAAGAATTTCTACCAAATCCTGTAAGAAACGATAGGGCGTATGAGGGGGCGCCGCCAAGGCGGCTTTTTCCACCTATGGTGCCTTCTGAGTGCGCAGCAATTGGCGAGAAAGGTTGCTCTGACTGCGCTCACATTGCCGCCCCTTCATACGCCCTACCACTTGTAGGGATCATGGCTATATATATGTCGATTCTAAACCTTAAATAATGATTAATAATGAGAGAATAATGAAAAATAATTTGGTGCAAGACGAATGTTCTTTGCCCAATTCAAAATGCGACCGGGTTCGAGAAGTCTGCATTAGCGTCGGTGGCATCTACGACTGTTACCGTAAGGAAACCTCGGATGATCCACTACATATACGAGTCACTCGTATGGCCGAGAAAGGCCAACGTAATCCATCAGACGGAGAAGAAGAGCCGTGGTACGTAAAGGCAATGAGAGAAATGGAGCTCATCTGCCCACCAGGATG